AACAATATTTTTCCCAAAGTTTTGGAAAAGTCATGGAAATGTAACTAAAGTTGCATCAAATATAATTTATATTTTATCTAATCGTCGAAATAGTAATACTATAATGATAATAAATACTATACTGTATGGTATAGTAATGAAACTTAAAATGGCATTTAACTGACGAGGTGTTTTGCTGGTGAGAGATGTTAGTTGCTTTAGCGTGTAGAAGCTAGTAAGCCTACTATTTGATTTGTTTTAGGCACAACTAGGGATGCATACCGGTAAAATCAAAAAAAAAAAAAAAATGTAAATTGTATTTTAAAAGTGAGTCCGTGGCCCGTGATGGCGGGTGTTATAAATTAGACTGCATAATCGTTTTTCTTCATATTTTATGTATTTTTCATTGTTTGTTCAATACTAGAAAGGTAAGTCCCACAAATGAACTGTGATGGGATTTGTTTTCTCTCGCCAGTGAAGGCAAATGTTGATTTTAAAGATGAGATTTGTTTGTTTGTGCAATGCCGAGATCTCATTCTCTAGTCGAATCTCAGGTTTAACATGAATTATAACGTTGCTATAACGGTCTGTTTGCATTGACAAGATGTGCTATTCACGCGGCACACCTGATGTTATAAAAGATATTCCATAATCGGTTTTCTTCATATTCTTTATGTNTTATTAAAATGTACCCAGTCTTTCATACGCATAAAATACAGGGTTCTTACGGTCATTAAAAACCTGGAAAAGTCATGGAAATTCAAAATGCTAATTCCACTGGAATTAGCATTTTGAATTTCCATGACTTTTCCAGGTTTTTAATGACCGTAAGAACCCTGTATTTTATGCGTATGAAAGACTGGGTACATTTTAATAAGCACAGAAGTCTCCTCACTTCTGATTCCACATGCTCACTCTGTCTTAAAGGCCTGGGCAGCCTTAGGAGCTTAATGGTGTGAGTTCAGAAGGAGCCGGCTAATAACACGCAGAGCCTGCTAATAAGAGCTTTAGTGGAGATATGTGTATATTAAAGGGCAGGCTGGTCTGCTTTATCAAAGGCCCGTGCTTTCACTCAGCCTGCCTGCAGGGAGCTGCAGCAAACTGACTTCATGGAGCAAATCTTCAAGATTTGACTACTTCAGAGGGAGACCATCAATTACTCTAAACTCCCCTCTGTTACACCATGTGTCTTTAGCAGCAGATTCCCAGTCTATGGTCTCACTTCTCTGAATCTCTGTTCCGCAGGCCGGCTCCTAGACTTCTATCCTTTTCTTTTTCTTGCTCTGTTCTCCCCTCGATGTGTTTTCCTGACTGTGCTGCGCCTTGTTGAGCTTCAGGCAGAAGCTTAGTTCTTCAGCGAAGGAGTCTAATCCAGTGTTTTAAAAAGCTCTCGGTCAGGATATGACTGATTTTAGTTTACACTAAAAGCCTTAACGCGTCTCTTTTCACTCAGCCGCAGAATGAGACTTGAATGTAAAATGACCCTCAGACTGTTTACCATAAAGCAATCATTTTGCACCTTTTTGTGAGTGTTGGCCTCTCATCCTTTCACTCCTACATTTCCTTCCTTTCATTTGCTTTTTCCTATTTTCTCCTGTCTTTCTTTCATTTGAAATCCCTCATTCACATTCCTACCACAATGTGAAATGAATAGAAACGAGTTTAAAATAGTGAACAGAAATGAAAAATGCAGCATCAGTTAGAGTTGACAGAAAACAGTGACACATGTATACATCGGGAAAGTAATGGGGCAAGAGAGCAATATCCTGAGACAGAGACGAACACCAGGAAGCGATGGGTAGACAACAGAAATCCTTCATCTAGACTGCAACACATTCATTATGTAGAACAGGTTTCTCTGTCACATTCTCCCTCTCCAAACCCACTTGTCTAGTATCTATGGAAGGACATGTTCCTCTTACGAATGATTTCTGACAGAGTCAATCCCATGTATGTGCCTGAGTGTGTGTTCACTCACATGTTAAGGTGTGTGTTTGAGGCAGAGCAAGCATGCAAGTGGGCGGTGTTAGCGGCATTTTTCATGAATCCATACAAGCTATTGAAAAACCAATCGAAAGTATTGAATATGGATTCTGTGTGTGCGCTTGTGTGTGTGTGTGTGTGTGTGTGTGTGTGTGTGTGTGTGTGTGTGTGTGTGTGTGTGTGTGTGTGTGTGTGTGTGTGTGTGTGTGTGTGTGTGTGTGTGTGTGTGTGTGTAGAGGATGAAGTGGTTGAGTTTATTTGCTATGTACGCACTTAGGAGTTTTCAATTGTATAACTTAATATGGTCCAATTCCTCGCCTATTGGTAAATGCATTTTTTTGTATTGCTGTTTCTTGTAGCTGTATATTTGTATTTATGTCACGTCATGCTTTAGGTGTGCGCTGTTTTTGAAATGTTGGATTGATTATTCTATGTGGTGCAGTGTGAATTACGGCTGGGAAAACCAATATCAATCTGAGCCTTTAAATCTCTGCCTGCTTTTCTGCGACTATTGAAAGGCTCCCCTGATGGTTGTATAACGTAACCTGCATTCTGTGTGTAGAAATACTAAGCACACACATTGTGATGCTGACCAACTGTAAGCATTAGAGTCACACAAGCTGAAGAAGTGTACAGTAATGTACGTCACATGTCCCTCTCAAAAGTGACTTTTAACCTCAAGGGGAATCAATTTGATATATTCAATTGAAACACCAACTTTAAATTAGATTCATTGGTGACTGTAAGTGTCTTTCTGTAATTACTTCTCCGGCCACACGGTTAATGAGCAGCTGTGTTCATTCTAATTCATTATTATGCAGGTGTTGTTGGGATATCAGGGGTTCATTAGCATATAAAGTAGGACACTGAACTCACTGTAGGCTACGAGAATGTCCTCACATCTGAAGTATTGGTTCGATATTTGGTGAAATACAGAACATATGACACACTCTCTAGTCAAGAGCTGGATGAGAGGATGGCTGTAAAGTAATTATGTAGCTAAAACCCGCCAAAAAGCACCAACGTTTGAAGTGGACGGGTGGTTATGTGCCAGTATATTTAAGGCAACAAGAGCTAGGAGTTAGTGGACCAAGCAAGTTAATACTGGACTTATACTGGGCAAGCAGTGATAAGAGGACCCAATTTCCATGACTCTTTTTCTACTAAAACTGTAAGAAAGCAACTGTTTATAACATCAAAACCCAAAGCAGGTTGGCTTTGGAGTGTTCCTGCCCTACGGTGATCAGAAATCGCTTAATGGAGCTCTAAAAGAGAGCAAAATAAGCACAGATGTTACAATTTATCCCGGAGCTATGAACTGCCGTATTGAAAACATTCTTGTATGCATGGAAAATAAATCGAAACTGGGAGAGTGAGAGGATTGTTTTCCGGAATGATATCATCCTCCTTTAATGTACAGAAACGTCAATACAACGTCCCTGGAGAGCGAGTGTGTAAAGGTGGAAGCCACTTACTGTGCATTCATGCTCCAGCACACACACATAGATACACACACCCACCTTTGAGTAATGCAGTGAGGATGGCAAGGTCAATGTCCTGATGGCCCTCCGACCCCATCCGGAAAACTGTTATCTGAGAGACAATGAGAGAGAGGGACGGAGGGAGAGAAAGTAGCCATCAGTTTCAATCAGTTTCTATTATTTCTTGTGTTGTTTGATGTGTTTCTTATAGCATTGAAAACCCGGTCACATGTTGAGAGAGAGCCGAATTAAACAGCTTCACTAAAAACACTGAGGTGCAGGGTGTGAGGAGAGAGGGATTGCTTTGATGTAATGTACTGTGTCTCTTCCACACAGACAGCCTGTAGGAAGGGGAATACATTCACCAAGAAGTCTGTCCGTTAACAAAGGTCATTTAGTTTTTGTCATAACATGTTGGGACTCATCTGTCGTCTAACATGTCTTTTAGCTGCATTTTTTATGACCTGTGCTAGATAAACTAATGGTGCGATAGATGAAAGCCAAAGTCCGCTGAGAGGGAAGTCTGAGAAATGGGGCAGCTTTTCTCTCACAAATATAGTAACACGTGTACACATGACTCGTGTTAGCATGTGTGTGGGCTAACATGCTCAACTGTGTGCATGCGTGAAGGGCACCTTGTGGGAGTCTCGTACGGGAGAATGCGTGTTCTGAATTCCTGACGAGCTATCCCTCTAATCCTTCCATCCATCTCCTCCCACCCCATATCCCCCCCCCTCTAAATGGCTTCATTTCGCGGAGCTCAAGGAATCTGCGGTCTTTGCTGCTGCTTTCCCTCGGGCTATGCTGCAATGTTCTAGACTAACCCTCCTCTATTCCAGTCTCTTTCCACGCAATCTAAATGCAAAAAGATTAATTCCATTCTCATCTATGATATAGAGTTGGTATTATTTGGATCATTCATCAATTGTACACCACATGCTGATGACATGACGGCTCCTCCCAGAGAGAGTAATGAGGAGTGTGGTATCATACGCCTTAGACCTGCATCACGCAATGCAAATGCAAATTACTATTAATGGGATCATCAAATGCAGACTTTCCTCTTTATGGTACATTATGGCTCTTCTCAATAGAATTGCTCGGTTTTTTTTTTTGTCACAAGCACAACACAAAAGCCCAGAGGAAGTGAGCTGGCAGTTTGAGACATTTTTGAAGTGGTACTACAACCTATATGTCGGTTGGCCCAAACAAAGTTTACCCATTTACTTACATTGGAAAAGGTATGTCTGTTAATCAGCAGATACTTTTTTTTTTAGCTAACAAGACCCCCCGTTTAACTTCTTAAATAGCTCTTATTATAGTTCCCTTTCATAGGAATAATTGGAGCCCCGCCTCCAAAGCTGTGTCCAGTTCTCTTCATACACTTCATACACCAGCAAAATGTTTAAGTAGTTAAGTAAGTAGCCAAGTTACCTTCAATAGTGGATAATGTAGTGTAACGGTAAAGATGATGTAACAGCGATAGTGCCATGGCAATCAGCTCCGTACTTGACTACACTGACGGGGTACTATCCAGAGTAAAAAATGAAAAAAGTACCAACTTTATATTGAGTCAAGGCGAGCCAAACCACGTAGTGTAAAGGAGGTATAACCGTGTGTGTGCTTATGTGAGCTGTGGCGGTCTCTATCAGCCTGTGTAATTAAAAGGTCTGTCTCCAGGTGAAAGAGGAGTGCAATGGGATGTGAAGGTATTGATTTTGGACTTCATGACTGAGGACACAAGGACAGTGCAGTGTGTATTGAGTTCATGTGCTTCTCTTAATGAAGTTGTGGTTTGTGTGTCTGTGTGTTTCTGTTTGTTTGAATGTTGTGGCTCATGGCTACATTATGACTTGCTAGAATGCATCTAAGTCTTCACTAATAGATGTTAACAACATCTTGGAAGTGATCTGCTGAACACAAATGCAATACAGTGATCTAACAAAGTGTATGGATTTACTTGTATGTGTGTTTAAGAGAAGTGACTCTCAAAGGTTTGATTATATAGTATATATATATATATACTGTATATAGTATGCAAAACTCAGATTTCAAACAAAATCTGGAAATAACCAACCAGTGTTCGCGTTAACCGAATATTTTCCGTCTCTGAAAGCAGTCCTTCATTTTGACAGATTAGAACACATTTAGAACAGCGGCAAAGTTTCCCCGCAGCGAGGCTCCGGTGTTATGCCGTGTTATGCATGCCCTCCAAAAAGGAAATGATACCGTTTCCAAACCTAACTTTGTCGTACAAATCATTGAAATGTCTGTGAGTTTTGGCTTTAAACAGTGGGCATGCGTAACACGGCGCTAACAGTTCACGAGCGTGCCCCCCCCCACGACCCCGTTGACAGTTCACGAGCGTGCTCTCTCTCCACCATCCCCCCCCGTCAGAGTTGTGTAAAGGCAGACGGGTAATACTGGATTTTGAAGGAAATGTTACGACCCTGTCCGTCAAAAATTACGGGCAGCGAAAATGTCTAGCGCAACCTCTGTAACCAACCAACAATTTGAAAGACTGTTTTTATTGGCAGGCTTCATTTCGCCTAATCAGGACATTACTTATTCATTATACCACCATGTTTATATCGTTACAGCAACGTGGTGAGTTCCTTTACAAATGTACACACTCACAACGTTTGCTATTGATTATATTTCCCTCCTTTCTCTCACCTTTAACTCCACTACCTTTCTTACAAATACTGTATCTTCCTCCAGCCCCCCCGACCTGCAATCACTGTGAGACGGGGTGAGTGTAAAGTGTAGAGTAAGTAGAAAGGTAGTTTTCTGAAAACTTTTGGGATAATGTGTGTAGTGGGTAGGAGGTAGTACGCATGAATAGGCACGTCTCGTCAGAGGTATGAAAAAGTACCGAAGTCTGTTGTGCGTGAGGAAGGAGTCGGACCGTAGTTTATATGGAATTCGAGGACCCGACGTGATTAAAAGTGTGGGGACGATATGGGAGTGTGTGGGGGATTGTCTCAGGCCGGCCAGATTTGCTGATGAGAGGGTGAAGGGAGTGTAAGTGTGACGAGTAAAGGTAAGAGGTGTTAATTGAAAATTTGCGCGGAAGATGTAAATAACGCAGTAGGAGTGTCAGGGGAAGCGGCAGTTACTGAGTCATGCTGGTTGGCAAAGGAGCGCGTGCATGAGCGGAAGGTTGATGATCGGGAGTATTGGGTCGTTCATGTGCGCCTTTTGGTGAGTAGGAGGAGTGGGAGTTGTCGACTGTGGCTGCGTGTTGTTACCGGTCTACACGAGGTCGAAGGGAGGCATGAAGAAGTCTTTGGCTAAGGTGGATTTATCATGATTAGTCGGTATCAGTTGAAGAGGAGCGGATTCCGTGATGCAGCAGACCAGGAGAAAAGATCATCTCAGAAGGACTGTAAGAGTTTAATATATATCAAGAGAGGTAGCAACACATGTTGACTATTTTTACACCCGAAAAACAACAACAGTCCTCAACTAGGGCGGGACGGGGGCGGAGCTGCATACCATTTCGTCTGCTTGCGATACGCCATAAACGATCAAAAGGGAAGGACAGCGTGTGTGGGGATGAGGAACTTGCACTGTGTTGTAAGAAAATACTCACGAACTTTGAACGGACGCGGGTGACAAGGCCTCGATTTTCCGACGAAGAGTGACGCCACACTTCGTCTTTTGGCCAGAAAAGTTCGAGGTCGAGGGAGCTATGGGCGTCAGTTGGATCTGTGTGGACCTTCATTAGCGACACTACTCCATAGGACTTAGTATGGTAGCGTGAGTGTATATGCGACGGGCGTTTCAAAGGGTATGTCCCCTCTAACTAGACGTAATGGAGGAGTGTGCGAGGACACTGTATCGATCAAGACAGTTTGAGAGCAGGTTCAGGATTTGTTTTGATAGTTACAAGCGCTTACTTGGATGGTGACATCGTTACGGTTACCGACCAAGCATCAGAGTTGGGGTGTGGTACTGAATGAGTGGATTTATATTTCGTCTCAGGACCCAGACATGTCACGTGCTGTGGGGTGTGTGCAGAGTAGTACTAAGTGATCGAGCAGTAACAAGTATAAGTAATAGGGTAACGTTATTATCCGATACCGTATATTGTCACCACCACCAACCGATGGGTGATCTGATCATCTCCCAGCGATGTGTATATCGCGAGTGGATGCATTATATCTGGACGAGTCCGCTTGAAGTGGTCGCATACGTGTCGTTTATTTTATCTGAGAGTAATGAACAAGTGTCTAAAGAGTACTATTGGAAAACTTTGTGCGTAGATAATAGGAGTGGCGGTGTTGAGAAACTGGGGTTTTGAAAAGAGTTCAGTTGAGATGAGCGAGTTAAAAGAGACTTACAAACATGTCTGTTCTCTCTACTAGTTAGTCATAGAGGCTGGGGGGAGCTTCATTGTAGTTGATTGGTTTAATACGTTATACAGTAGAGTAATTAGTCAGAAGGTAGTTATTGAGAGATGATGATGATAAATCGGGGAGTGGTTATGTGGGGGTTTCTGTTACATGTGATATCCTGGTGATATTTCTGGAGGCAGTACATTATCGATAGGAGATGTTGGGGCTATATGAGAGTAGTGTAAATTCTGGTAGGTATTATTGTTGTAGTTAGCTTATTATGTTTATTGTACAAAGTGTTTAAGTTGTACAAGCCCTTCCACTTATCATGTATCAGCGAAGTGTTGGATAGCAGGGGAGTGTACTTCGTACGAATTTGTATTCCTCTACAGAGGTCGTATGGTGAGTTTCTGAAATAAGAGACTTGAAGACATGTGTGCAGTCTCTGTGGGAGTCAGAAGGTAGTTATAGGGTCAACGAGTAGCACTACGAGTAGTGGAAGCGACATATCCCAGCGCTAGCTCGGGAGCCAAAGAACGATTCATGATCTCTTGTACAGCTGAGCGTTAGGCCAGTGCACGGGCAGAATGGAGACGAAGTTGTACTCTAAAGTGACAAAAGGTTAGTCGAACCGAGCGAGGACCGAGAGTCTGCGTCTTCTACGGCGGAAATGACTAGGAGCAGATTCGAGCGTTGGAGTCAGCAATAAGAGATCTTCACGAGCAGCGTTAGGAGGTGTCTGGGTCTTGGAGTCTTTTCTAAATAGACGGAGAAAGTTGAAGAACCTAGTCGGAACTTAAACCAGTTGATTAGAGAGTGAAGACAGAAGAAGCGGAAATGTACGAAGGGAAAAGACGACAGAGTGCAAATACGATGGCCAGCGAAAGAAGTAGCAGAGAAAAGTAATTGAAGGGTAGAACCCTGGTGTGTGTTTTGGGTCTCCACTACTATCAGTTGTTCTTTAGTCATTAAATTCTATATCCTATGTCTTAGTGTTTCTGGTCTACCCCTTCAAATGTGGTACTGTTTATTATGTCCTTCGACAGATGTGAAAACTACCTACACTAACATCCTTTTCAGAAGCGACATGTCTCCCTATATTGTTCTACCACCTCTTCGAAACATAAATAACGATGTGAATGTCTACTCAGGAACAATAATTACGTTTATATGGAACCGGGCAACAAGGAATTCCGAGACAACGAATGTGGAAGATAATATCTTCGGAGATACTGTTGTCCATCGCGAGTAGGGTGTCCCCAGTGGGAACCTCATTCTTTCCTCCCGTACGTCGTACGCACTACGACCCGCCCCCCCCCACA